AGTGCAGCCTCAGCACAGTATCACAGGAGGAGGAGGAAGCAAACAAAAAGCTGGAAGCAGAGCTGGATCAGGCCAAAAAAAGTATTCAAGAATTGAAAGACACTATTAAGAGGCCAAATATAAGAGTTATGGGAGTCCCAGAAGGTGCAGAAAGAGAAGCTGAGTTTGCAAATGTATATAACTCTGAATGTAAATGGCTTAAGCTCAATCAAACGGCATAGGTTAGTAGACTGGATTAAAAAACAAAACCCATATATTTATTGTCTAGAAGAGACACACTTCACCAACAAAAATCAGTGGAAACTATATCACATGGGTTTTGTTTTTTTTACTGTTAGTTTCATCTTTTCAAAGCAGTTCCTTCTGATTAAATCATTCAATGACTCATAGATCATGCGGTGGCATCATTTTCTTCAAGAAGGTTCTTGATTTTCATTTCTTCAGCTACACATTAGTCATTTGGTAGCATGTTATTTAACTTCTTGGTGTTGTTAATTTCTTTTTTCTCCCTGATGTTGATTTTGTTTCGTGACTTTTCATTTAAGGGGATGTATAATAGCTCTGTAATGGAGACTGTCATATCTAACAACATGTCATTTAACTGTATGGCATTGTAAATTTCTATTTTTCTTTCTATTTTTGATTTTGTACTATGACTTTTCATTTAAGGGGATGTACAGTAGCTGTGAAATGGAGAATAACATATCCAGATGTGAGGATAAAATGTAGTATGCATTTCTACTTCCAGACAAAGATGGACTTACAATGAAACTGTTCACTATATCTTGACAATAGGATGCTGGACTCTGCCATTGCCCGTGCCCGCAATGATGGCCATATGACTGTGTATGAAAAACTATATTTTAGGAATGATATAGAGGAACTAGGTCGGGGGGGAAGGAATTGTGGAGGGGATAAGGGAAATTCCAGGAGCCTATGGAACTGTATCATAAAATGATAATAATAATAATAATAAAATGTAAAAAAAAGAAAAAAAACAAAATACACTATTTTTTTCAAAGTCTTATAACAATCACTAAAAACTTCAAAAAACAACTCATCTTTATGACTTTAAAAAAAAAACTCTACATACTCTTTAAGGAAAAAAAAATGAAGCTGAAATCAAATTTAACATTAAATTAACCCACTATTTACCTAAAAGGGGTAGACACCAGAATACTAAATGAGATAGATCAGATATTCAGTTATTTATACTCTTTATGATTATAAAGGAAAATATTTTAAATGACAGCACTCAGAATACCAATTTTAAACCAGTCATATAAAGTCAGAAATAAAAAATGCTATTTAAAGCTAAAACTTAAAGGGTAAAAACGAGAAAGAAAAATTTCCTCAGATGTTCCCCAACCTCCTCTCCCTGAGTTTCTACTTTAATTGCAAACACTGCTGTGAGAACTATCAATTGCAGACTTTCTTCCTCAACCAAAAACACTTTCATGCCAAAGTTAAGTTAACTCAAGGGTACGGGGGAAAGAAGAAAAGCATTTTCTCTAATACTAAGAGTCATGTTGAGGATATGCCTTCAAAAACAACTCCTACCTAAACTTGCTTATGACAACCGACATAAAAAAATATTTGACTTTGAAGCGCTATAGGCAAAATTCTTCCTCTCATATATTCATATTTGTATGTGCAAATTCATAACCTGTTCCTGAAATCAACAATAAAGAGATCTATAGCAAAATGTCATTCAATGCAACAAAATATAATAGAATAACATTTTAAACTAGGAATTCTTTTGGAAATGAGAAAGAAATAGATACATAAGAAACCTATTTGTTAGATATGGATGAGCCAAAAGCTGTGAATTCTATCAGTCATGGTGGAAGGAAAGGCATAACCAATTATATGCTTCTTAGTGTCTATATGGTAAAATCAACCAATTCAATAGAGGATGATGAACTGTGTGACACAGTAGAGTCCCCTCACAGTAGCATGACCATCAATGTGACAATACATCTCAAAGGACTGTTTCTTTTAACACGCTCAAAACAGTCATGTAACACGAAAGCACAATTTAGCAGCAACTATTTCTATTGGAAAGAGATTCCCAACTCAGTTCACCTGGGATGAACCAATTTTTAGAATGGACAATCAAGCTTTCACCAAGTTTCAGCAGAAGTGAGTCCCAGCTCACGCCTCGTTCAAGTATCTCAACTGAAGGCTAAGTACCGTTCCCTTTGCCGTAAGAGTCAGACTAGGCTGTCCTTTTCCACATAACTGAGGTGCTAACAGAAGACCTAACACTTCTTCTCACATGTAGCTGAAGAAGTGTCTAAATACATGCTCTTGAGTGTTACTTAAAATTATAACCTAAGCGGGAGCATCTGATAGTATCATGACCATCTTAACCTAGAACAAAATTAAACTACTTTCATTATTTATAATCCAGGAGAAATGAATATTTTAAATAAAATGAGGACTGCTACCTACAAACACAAAGAAGCTGATACTTTTTTTCAATGATCACATAATTCCTTAATTCATGCATTCCATTCCACATAATACATTTTTCAAAAAGTCTTCATTTTTATTTCACTTGAAGGAAGGGAGACAAAAACAGAGAAACATCTACTCTCCATTGCTTCACTCTTTAGAGTCCTAAAACAGCCAGCACTAAAACCAGGAGTTCAAGACTCAATTCAAATCTATACCACTTGGGTGGCAGGAAACCAAGAACTTGGCCTGTTATCTGCTGTCTCCTAGTGTGCACATTTTTGGGTAGCTAGGACTAGAAGCAGAGCTAGAATTTGAACTCAGTCTCTCACATATGGGATACCAGCATGTGAAGTGGCATCTTAACTGTTGTATCAAACACTTGCCTCCCATGTGATGCATGTTTTAATTATTCCATTCATTTTGCTGTGCTTGCATTTAACCTATATTTCTTTCAATAAATTCTAGAGCTTGACACTTAGCACTCACCTTGTCAGGCATTTTCTATTCTAGGATTTTTTTTCTCTCTCTCTTTTTTATTTGTTACATTGCATTATGTGACACAGTTTTATAGGCACCGGGATTCCCCCTACCCCTCCCTAAACCTCCCACCCATGGTGGATTCCTCCACCTTGTTGCATTACCACAGTTCAAATTCAGTTGAGATTCTTTCATTGCAAGCATTTATCAAGCATAAAGTCCAGCATCTTATTGTCCAGAAAAGTTCAATGGTTTCTTGGGGAGACCATCTCTGGTCTGAAGGTAGAGCTGGTAGAGTATCATCCCTCAAAACAAACAAACAAATAAACAAACAATCTAGAATAGATAGACAGAGAACAATAAGGAAAGCTTAGCATCAGACAGGCAACGGTCAGCGTGGATACACTTACACCTCACTAGGTGGGACACAAAGATTAGTTACTCCTCACTAGGGTATTGAAGATTGCTCTGCACACCCCTCCTAAAACTGTTCACCTAAACTGTTGACACATGTTTTGTTAGAGTTATAGAGTTAGACTATCCGAAAAACAGCAAGGTTCAGCAAAATTATGCTTCAACGCTATAAACTGCCAAATACTAACATTAAAATAGACACGAGACAGCTGAATAGTAATCTATAGCCATTTTAAGGTGTATTCTAGGATTTGAATTTGAATTTTTCATTGCCCCTTAATTACTCAAAAATAATTTGCACAAATCAATTCAGAGCATTTCTCTGTCTTTTTGGTATGAAATGTCCTAATTATTCATTCAGAATCGTATTCATTATGTTTTTTTCTAAAGATTTATTTATTTTACTTGAAAGTCAGAATTACTGAGGGAAACAGAGGAGAGGGAGAGATCTTGCATTTATGAAGTCACTCTCAAATGGCCACTAGAGCTGGGCTGGTTCAAAGGTAGGAGCCAGAAGCTTCTTTTGGCTCTAACCATGTGGATACATGCATCCAAAGATTTGGGCCACCTTCTACTGCTTCTCAGGGTATTATCCAAACAGCCAGGACTCCAATCATAGGTAAGATCCTGGAACATAGGTGGAAGATTTTGAAGAACTGTGCCAACTCTTCAATATATTTGAAAATTATTTAATATACTATTCCAAAATCATGTTTAATAGGTTGTAAGCTCATTTCTTTCATTAAAATATTTTGTATTTTAATTTTTCAGATGAAATTATTTATATTTGAAAATGCATTATAAAATGTATGAGTTCTGTATTCATTAAATGTACATGTATCAAGGTCGTTCATTGTAGTTTTCTGGTATTTTGGATGGTCAGCAAACCCATCTGCTTAAAAAAGCTCTGTTATTTACCGCTCCCCCCACCCCCGCCTATGGTTAAAGAAATGTCTAGTTTATGTAATGATTTTGTGAAAATTTATCCCATGGATATTTCAAAGTGATTAGTTACTCTCATTTAGGAAAATAGACTGTAGTACCTGATACATGATTTTCTCTCCAGCTCCATGAGTTTTGATTTGTTGTTATTCATTACTCAGGCTGTTTCATATCATAAAATGTATCCTATACTTCTATTCCCAGTCAGTCCCAGAACATTTTACATTAATTAAATATTCACATCTCCAAATTGTAAGGGGCTTCATTTCAAAATAAACCTCGGCTTCTAAACATCTCTGTGCAATATTTTATAACAGAGGGAAATATTACATCCTAACACATGGTAAATCATGAGGGCAGAGATTTCATCAGTTCCTCTCACATTTCATATAATTTGCTCTATGTGGTGCTTAAAGTCCTGAAAGGAAAAGTATTAATCTTGCACAATGTCTGGGACAAGGCAAACCACGCACAATGTGGAGTTATCTGGCCAGTATATGGAATTGTGTATTCTTTTCACGACAGGCAAAACTCATCCTGGATATCCTAGGATCAATGCTTCATGAGAATAAAGGATCTGACTGGAGTAAAAGAAGGATCGGTATGGAGGTGTTCACCAGCCACCAACTATAATTTTTTTTGTACCAACTATGGTTACTAAAAAGAGATGTACACCATGAAAGGATAGAGAGGCAGTATGATGGAACAAAGGTGCTCAGCAAAACAAAGATGTTCCGAGTGACTCTGGAGTCAAAGGAAAGTCCTGGGGAGAGGTTGGTGCTATGAATATGTTGGACTTGCTGTCTGTGCCTATCAGTGGAAATCATGGAACTGCTGGCCCAAATCATGAACATCAAACACAAAACATCACAGGATGATAACACGGTCGTATGCTGTGATCTCAAAATACTGCTGTAACTGACCCATGACAGTATCCAAGGTCAACTTTTCCTGTGTTGTTTTTGATATTTGATTTGTTGGTCACATACATTGGAATAATAATATTTGCCAACATGTTAAGAATTCAGCACAGCAAGTTGGAATGCCAAATGAATTAGGGAGCTTGTAGTTTCAGTTCTGCCCAATTGGAACCCATTGGACTTGAACTGATGATTACAACATGAAAGACATTCAAGAGACAGCTGCTGCCAGTAGACACACCCCTGCTCCCTCTATAATAATAGAAAACAAGTTTGAACCCAACATCACTGAGAAAATGCCATAACTCAAAAGAAAAGATTGTCTGCGGGATGCCTTTGGAGAGTATGACAAGGTGTTGGCTATAATCAAATGCTTGAAAAGTAGACCTGTGGAGCTTACAGTGCATCTGGTAAAATTAAGATTACTGTAGAGGTAAAGAAGAAAAGCATTCCTAAAAAAATTGCAACTAAGGTCTGAATCAGAAGATCAGTCCTGTCACCAGTTCCCTGGAGGCCATGGGTACAGTGACTGCTGAGCACATAGAGAAGGGAGTATCCTGCTCAGATGAAATCAGTTGTTGTCCACTGACCATACATTTCTTTTTTTTTTTAAGATACAGTTTAGTTGGCACTGCAGTCTCCCTTTCCCTTCCCAAATTCCCTCCCTTCCCTCTGTTCACCCCTCCAGTCTTACAGTGGGTGTCCTACATGAATTTTCACAAGTCTGTCATGCTGACACTGGGCTGTCCCCCATCAATGCAGGAGATTGTCAGTCATTTCGTTCTGAGCCCATCCTCGTAGCGCATGCATGAGGACTTACTTGTCTCTGAGAAACTGATACATTCTGCATATAAATTTTTAGTGAATATCAGAATTATAATATCCATGACTCACTATAATGAATTTTCCAAGGATCCTAATTAAATGAAGCATCATCTGAGCTTAGCTCCTTCAAAACAATCTGCTCTGAAAGCAAATGACAGGAATATTCCTTATGCATTCAGATAGCAGTTCTAAGTACACTATCAAAATGCTTATTACCCCTGTGTGTAATTACTCACTTATTCCTGTAAGATTAGGATACATTCAGCTTGAAGTAACAGAAAACGTGACTAATGATAATTCAAACATTGAGAGTTCACTTTTCTTACATAAAAGTCTACAGACCAAAAAACTGCTGGCATTATTAGTCCAGTAACTCAACATCTCCAATTTCCTTGACATTTCCCTTGTGTTCTCCAGGTGCCTGCCAAAGCTTCCAATCCACACTTAAAACAAGAATAAAGAAGGTAACAGAGAAGGGGCTGTGCCATCATTGTCTGTTTCACTTACCAAGATAACAAATACGTTTCTGAAACTCTCCCAGAAACTTCATCTCATCTTGTTTGATAGGGTGAAATCACATTGCACAGTTTCAGGGAAGGCTGGAAAAGTACAAATGGCATAAGTGTGAGTCCCTTAGAGTCTGTGCTTAAGGCTTCTCATAGATCATCTGGGAGCGGTCATGCAACATAGCAAGGAAGAAAGGTAAAGTTGGAAACCAAAACAATTATTATGTTTCTCTATTGCCCAAATCAAATGTAAACTTCTTGTAGATAATGATTATATCTCTTTCACTATTTTAGTACTCATTCTGGCACAGTACCTGACTCATAACAAGTGCTCAGTGAATAACAACTGCTGGGGCCTGGTACAATGGCCCAATGGCTAAATCTTCACCTTGCACGTGCTGGCATCTCATGTGAGTGGGTGCTGGTTTGTGTCCCAGTTGCTCCACTTTCCATCCAGTTCCCTGCCTGTGTCCTGGGAAAGCTGTAGAGGATGACCCAAAGCCTTAGAACCCTCCACTCACATGGAAGACCTAGAAGAAGCTCCTGGCTCCTGGCTTTGGATTGGCTCATCTTTGGCCATTGCAACCATTTGGGGAATGAATCAGCAAATGAAAGATCTGTCTGTCGTTCCTTCTCTCTGTAAATCTTTAAGAAATAAATTTTTCAAAAAAGATGAGTAATTAACTTCTCTGGTATCCTTGACCATGACTCACACCTATGAAATGATATATGAATAACATTCGTGTCCATTCTGAACACCTACATTTGTACACCTGCATTCTAAGATGTACAAATTATTCTAATCTATTCTAGCCAACATCAGGAGGTCAGTTCAGTAAATGCTGCTGCTGTCAGTGCTGGTGGTGGTAGCAATGAAATAGGACACTGAAAGTAAACCTATCCTTCCAAACACCAGAAGGAATATAACCAGTAAGGTTCAGGTAATCAGGCCATGAAAACCTAATACTAGATCAATTACTGCAAGAAAATTCGAGGGAGAAGATATATTATGTCTCTTAAAAAAAAAGGTGGGGGGAGTGGGTGAGAGTATGACTACAAGATACATAATATGTAGAAGTAATCAGTGAAATGCAAGCTCTTTATTGGATTTAAACAAGACCTTGCATAGAAATTAAAGGAGTATTCTTTATGGATTTAATTAAAATGCTGCATAAGAGACCTTTCTTATCTTACTGTGGTGCAACTGTATTAAGATGCTCACATCAAAATATTTACATTTAAATATTTTATAATGCCACACTTTAAAATATTAATGATTCCACAAGTAATCACTGACATTTCTACAGCCTTTTCCATACTAAGTTTGCAAGAAAACAGCAGTCTAACCATGTTATCCCTAGTCAGCTATTTGAAATTCAGCTTAGCAAACATACCAGCTTGCCTGTTTCTACAATTCTAATGAAAATCTCTCTATGAACTTAACTTCTTGCTATTGCAATTTGTTCTTATTCTGTTCTAGATAGTGGCCAAGTGGAAAGAAAAAGAACTGTTTTTGTGTTATTACGTGCCTTTGCTCAGTTTAAATACATTCTTTTTCAGGAGACAAATTTATTCAAAGTTTTCATTAAAAATTTCAGAAAGGCAGCTGTAAAACCTAACAAGTAGATAAAGCAATGTTACTGGTGTTTTCTGCCATTACAAAAATCTAAGTGCTATTTTGCAACAGACAGTATTGCGGAATATTGCATATGTTCATAACATAGGTTTTGCAATCATAACAATCATTTCTTAATATTTGCTCCCTGAAAGCACCAAAGAACTGACTATTCATGAACATGGCTATAATTTTTCTCTTCCTGCTGACTTTCTTTCTTGTCATTGGCAAAAAAAAAAAAACAAAAGGCAACTGAGGAAGATATGATCAAACTCTCACGTCTACAAACAAGTCAAGGACAACTCTCGCTGTGATGATAAATGTAGGGCAGTTAAATGTTGTCAGGCTCATCTCCTAATATGAAAGATGATTATTCACTCTTTGTTTCTTAGAGAAAGCTAATTATTGGGGATAATCATAAAAGAAGTTAATGATCAGAGAAATGGCAGGCAGGTGACAGGGATTCTATAAATCCTACCAACTCCAGCAAAATTTTTCTAAAGGATTTTGGATCCATGTGGTTATTAATTTTTGTCTGCTGCAAAAGAGAAAGAGAGAGAGGAGAGAGAGAGAAAGACATCATACATCACAGTATTTGCACAGTCCTCTGAGAAATTTAACACCATGCTGCCTTCATGGGGAGTTAGTTAGGAAGGGTTAAAAGAGTGACAGTCTTGATTTAGGATTGAAATGGGAAACACGGTTATAGGATGATGTAAATTCCTTTTGGCATGGAATTTTCTGAATTGCAAATAAGATCAAACATAGTAATGAAGACCCTGCCAAAGATACAAAATAAACTGAAATCTCTTCTGAGTAGGATGTTATTTTCTGTTCTGAGTTCCTCAATGTTGTTTGTAATTAAAAATAGACTAACTTCTTAGTTCTTTGATGTTCCTGTGCATAAACTCTATGCATTCTCTTTCTCTTCTTGAACAATATTTTCTCTTTCCTTTCTGGAAATTCAAAACTTTTATGATATAGCTAACCTCCCTCATGGTACTTGAGATCAGCATGTTTTTGTTTCTTGTAAAATGAAAAGAAAAATATCTACTACATTTCTTCAAAATATATTTAATCCATCTTTACTATAATTTTTAACATCTTCCATTTATTCCTTTCAAAAAGGAAGAAATAGAAGCTTGATGCTTAGAAGCCTATAGCCTAAACCAACAAGATGTAGGATATGTCAAAATAAAATTCATAAACATGCCATTTTTATCTCTAATCCAGCTTTGCCTTTTTCATCTTAACATTGGGAGATATTCTATACAGCACACTTGAATTTTTTCTCTGTAGTTCAGAAATTTGCATTCTAAAGCCCAACGTCCCATAGCAATCACCACTCAAGCACAAAAGAAGATTGCCTGAAATAACTGGACAGGTTGGCTGGATCAGTCTGATTGCTTCCAGACAACTGAGTGACATTTCACTTAGCTTTAGATCTAAAGTCCCAAATTTAATAAATAAAAGTCTTGAAAACAACAGGCACACTTCATTCTTCTCCCTGCAACTCAAAGCAATTTAATTCAAAAAGTAATTAACAAGACTGTAGTGTAGAGATGGTGTGGAGGACTCTGGTAAAGAAGATGTGGCCCTACCTTCAGGCAGCTTACAATCGAGCTGCATAAAGCAGAATTATTTACAAAACTGCCAAATAATGATGTCATGACAGTGGGCAAAATTCTAAGGTGTTCCATGCAATCTCCAAACCCTGGTAAACCCTATGACTATATTTACAAGGCCAAAGGTGGTTTTTCAGCTGTAATTAAGGTTACTCACTCTTAACTCTTTAAAAGCAAAAAAAAAAAAAAATCAAGACTGAAGAGAATTTGATGTCACTGCTAGCTTGGAGATGGATTGGGACATTTTAAAATGCTGAGGGACATAAGCAGCCTCTGAAGGACTGAGAGCAAACAAGAAAACCTCAGTTCTACACTGAAAGGAATTGGATTCTATCAAACAGAACGAGCTGAGAAGTGAATTCAGCAGTGTTTCCAAACAAGAGCTGACATGAGTCAACACCTTGACTTCACCCTCTTGAAATCCTAGTCAGGAAATACAGTTACACACTGGACTCTGACCTGTACACCTGTCCAATAAAGAAGAGGTGGTCTTTTAAAATGCCAAGTTAATACTAATTTGTTATAATTAACAATAAGTTAGTAACAAGAATCACCGTGACTTTCAAAAGACAGTATTCTCCTTGTTTCCTTATTCCTACATCCAGGGACTATTCACCTTCCATCTTTCTTTCCTCCCTCCAGTGGCCTTCATCTTCTCTTTACCCATTAATCACCACCAGACTTGTTTTGTTACTAGAGTTTTTCCCTGAAATTCCGACTCTGCAATACTATCTCTATAAATAAGCCATTGTTGAATTGAGTTATTTTTGAATTTTTCTCACTTGCTTTTTTTTTATATTACATTGCATCATGAGACACAGTTTTCCAGGCACTGGGATTCCCCCCTCCCCTCCCCAAAACCCGCTTCCCCCCCCCCACCGGTGGATTTTTCCATCTTGTTGCATTACCACAGATCAAATTCAGTTGAGATTTTTTTTCCTTGTAAGCATCTACAAAACATAGAGTCCAGCATCTTATTGTGCAGATAAGTTCAACAGTTTCATGGGGAGACAGTCTCTGGTCTGAAGGTACAGCCGAAAGAGTATCATCCCAATTAATTGAAAGCCCTGACATTACATCAGTAACAATTTATAACATACCAGAATTAGTTGATATGATATTGTGTAACCAGCATGTTCAAAGAGAGAAAGAGAAAACAACAACAACAACAACAACAACAACAGAAAGAGTACAAGTTCTGAACCACATCCTATGACTTCTACATTAACATTACAATTATTAGTTTATATACAACTGGGTTCTATACACCTC